TTATTTATATTCTTTATGTATTCCATTGATACCTCATTGGGTTCATTGCTGTCGTAAGATATTTGATCTGAAATCAGGCTGCGTAGCTTCTCGGTTGGCACACTACATAATGTATTTCGTTCGGTTTGTTTGCTAAGCATATTTTCAAGACATCGCAAAGAGTCTAAAATAGTCTCCAAGTAATAGGATTTTCTTGCATATTGCAACAACAAGATCAAGAGCTTACAAAAATAAAAATGTAAAATTAAATTGGACATATTTTATAATAAATAACTCTTTGTGTTCAAAACAGACTTACCAAAAAAAAAGTATAAAGAAATTAAAAGATAATTAAATTGTGTTATATTTAATATCTCTATATAAACTAACGATAATATATTTAGCACTTATTGCTAAAAAATAATTTACTTACCACACAGCCGAATATTCGGCACGAAATTGTCGGAGAAGACATGATTATCAATGTTCGGAGTTCTCTTCGATTTCTGAAGTGATCGTCTACTGTTGCGTGTTCATATATGAGCGTTCACGATCACGTTAAAATTAATTAAAAGTTTGCGAATTTAGTGAGAGTAATAAAAAAATTGTTAATTATATAAAGCATATGATATAAAGTGTTATCGCTTGAGTGAAATGTGCTAAATTCAATTTATTCTTTACGATACCATCAATTGACACTTTAAAATAACTTAGAGATGAGAGAGAGTGAGAGAGAGAGAGAGAGAGAGAGAGAGAGAGAGAAAGAAATTGAAGTACATAAAAATTAAAATAAATTTAAAATTTTGCATGTCCATTTAAATTTATAGGTAATGCATTTTTAAATAATCAAAGTTTCTTTTTTTATTATTAATTATTCATTATATTAGAGAAAAGTCACCGATACCGACATACTACTTTGTTTTTAGATAATATTTCTTAAACAAAAAGTAAAAATAAAATTTAAAAAATATAAGTACAAACTAAAAAGTGTCTTCCATCAGATAATATAAGCAGTTTTTATAATACTATTTGCAATTCTGCAATAATTAATTTTTTCGTAAAATAAGCAAAAATGAGCGTCTTACAAAATAGACTCCAAAACTGCCACAGTAGGTAGTAATGCTACATATTCTTATTCTTTTTTTTTACAGGAATTATATGTATAAAATACTACAAGTGAATGTTTCTAAGACATTTCAGAATCTTTTCATTTCGTTATAAAATATTTTTATTGAATTATATGCATATTTACTTTATGCTGTTCTGCAAGATGCAAATATGTAACGCGATAGTTTTTCAAGAGTTTTTCGATATATGCACGACTGTCTTCAGCTCCAATAGAGTTATTTGACACAGAGCAACATTATAAAGATTACATTAGCTCATGATCTGTTTTACAAACAGATGGCGGTTTACGCTGCATCTCAATTTTAAATTTAAAATTGTATTATAAAAAAACTAAGAGAAAAAATAATATAAATAAAACTGATTTAGGGAATTATAAACATTTACAATGACGTAATATTATCAATAATATAGACACTATTATTTAAAAAACAATAAAGAAAAAGGGCTACGAGCCAAAAATTATTTTATAAAATTAAACATCGTTAATATAGAAGTTTGAACACAAATAAAAGAAACAATCCTTTAATTGATTTAATAGTTACAATACGCTAGCAATAAACAAACAGACGTTTCACGTGAAACAAACGCAATTTACAAAAGAAAATCGTAAGAATTTTATTTTCGCATTCGTAGAATTCGTTTTGATCTGATTTGGTGTAGAAACAAGCCATAAATACGAATTATGAGTTTGTACTTCTTTAATTAGCTAAACAGATCATAATTTTATTAGTATTAATAAATAAATGCAATAGTAAATTTCTGAAAAATAAGGGGGTGTCACTTTAGAAGACCTATGTCAGTATCGGAGACTTTCCTTTAATGTTTATTGAATTTCTATTTTAAACAAAAAATAATTACAGAAGAGTAAATGATATTAGGACTACTTATACTATTTGTTGAAAGTAAGTTAATCAAAGAAATTATATTATATATACATTTATTTTAGTATATTAATTTCTTCCCACTTCATATAAAGCTAATAATTTTTTAAAACATGTAAGTAAAATATGCATATGATAATCAAAACAATCATTTATTTAAAAACAAGAGAAATGTACAGAAGAACATTTACTTCGAAAATTGATCGATGTTAACAATTAATTCGAGATAGATTCAATGTATTAATATATGTAATTAAACAAACATTATTTAATCGAATAATTTTTTTGTTTGTTAAAATGTAATGTCGAATTAACGGAGAGCATTGAGAATGTCATTTCTGTGAATTTTCATTCTGACATTTACGTAATTTTGCTCATCCTCGTCTAACATTATTATCTTACCAGAACGTTGTATCATCCTTCTATTGTGACTATCCTTCTGATTGGTCTTCGGAATCTGTTTCGATAGAATCATCTTCAGGGAGGCCATCATATCTGCCAAGATGTCTCTCGCCATGATCTCTTCATCTAACTTATTTATGCTCGGAAAATCTCTGATGATTGCCTTTTGGGTTATCTTATCGAGTTGAATTGCCACTTGGAAGATGGGCGAGAATGTTCTGCTTCTTCTCTTATCTGACATTAGAGATATTAAAGCATCCTTGAGATCCTTCTTAATACTTTTTGAACTGGTGATATGACTAGTGCTGTTGTTTAAACGAGACTCTATTATCTTCCACAATTCTTGAGCCAATTCCTGAGCGTTGATATTCACGTTCACATTCTTGTTCTTAATTATCGGTCCTATGAACTGTTCCTGTAAATTGTACTTTTAATTTTGAACGTAAATAGGTATCTATCGTCAATAAATTATCATTATACGAACAAAACAAGATAATGGAGCTTTTATTATGATAATGTTTTCACGTCTACTACGAAATTAATTTATTTGTAAAAATTATTGTAATAATTATTGTAATATTCTTAGATAATTGCGATAAAAAATTAATTCTATTTCTTTATTTTTTTCTTACATCTTCTTGTGAAAATTGCTCCAAAGAATCCATCTGGAAAGATTTATGAATTATGACATTATTAAATCAGTTACAATTCGTATAAATGTTACATTATTTACAAAATATTTAATAATTTTTTGCATTTTAAAATTAGCAATATACAATAGATGTTCTGTTACCAGTATATTGTTAAAGATTAATAATAATAATAAATACAAAAGATTATTTTTATATATACAGAAGTAATTTGTAATAGATATTAAAGCTTTTTTATTTGGCTCACATTATCATTATTATAATTAATTATTTTTTTATTTTTCTACTTTTGTTCTTACTTGAGCACCACTAGGGTAGCCCACAATATTGGTAAATACGCAATTGTCATAACGTGATTGATACAGATAAAATGATTTGAAACACTGGCTTAGCTTGTCTCAAAACGACGAATGCATATACCATAAACCGACTTTTATATGCAATAACACGATGTGGAATTTTCGCGCAATGCAATGGTACGATATCAAGACGTCATAGAAATTGAAGACGGTGCAATTTGTATTGGAGATTTAATTCACGCGATAATTCGTGATAAGTCTGGGCCGTCCGCTTATAGACAGTTTGTGGACGCACGCAATGCTGATCAATGAGACACAATGTTCGTAAGTGCAGCTTTCGCAAAATGTATCTTTGAATCACAACGGCAATTATCTTTTTATGCATTCACATTGTACCACTATCATTGTATACAAAATATGACGTCATTTAATTCATCTTGACCATCTATCTACTTATATATTCCAGTATTTAATACATTATCATTGTTTTCTTTGTAAATTAACATTATTACAATATTAAAAACGCAGAAAAATGCAAAAATGGTAGTTACACTTTTTGTGTTGTACTCGCAGAATTGGCTCTTTTCAATTATTTTTATTTGTCTATAGGTTATGGCACACTAAAAACTTAAAGTAAGCTTACAGTAAGCTAATTAACATTTTTCATTTGCTATTGTTTATATTATTGCTTTATGGTTTCTATTGTGATTGACTAATTTGATTATTACTTACGTCTCACTTACGTTTTTCTATGTGCCACGACTCTATTTCTTTTTATGCATGTAAAATTAAAGATATTTCTTTTTTTTATTAATCTCTATATCTTTTGATACTTGTAAGATTTTTAATAGATCTAACGTATAAATATGATAACTAGGTATAACGTATAAATATATCCTAACTTACCATAAAAGCGACAATATATTTCTTAATATACAGAATTATTTATTCAGTGAGAAATGACAATGAAATCGATGTCGAATCGACGTCGATTTGATGATTTTGACTATCATGAGTATAAAATATGCATGAATCAGGTTTTAAGATCGTACTCAAGAATCGCTGTACATGATAAGTGTTTCATTACAGTAACACATTATAAAACTAATCAAAAGATAAGTATGCTCTGATTATTATTCGTCAATTTTCGTATGGAAGTTATAAAGATTGTAATTTTACAATCTTTACAAGAAATACTTTTAACACAGAATTGATCTGTTGATGGATCAATTTCTCACAACTAAGTACTTCAAAAGTGATATGAATAATTTATACATTCAATTTCAATTTTCAAAGATTTTTATAATTATTTTAATTGTCCTTATTGTGATGTATAATAAAAGCATATCGTAATTACAAAATAATAATTATTATAAAATAATTAGTATAATTATTATAGCTCATTTATATATACATTTTGTATGTAATTCTAGATGTACAACATATTGTGTAATTTGAATTTTGCTTGTAAATTATTTGCTTAACTTAGATAATATATTCGATATGCAAATTTTTGTTTCGTTATTTATTATAATAACCAGTCATGTAAGTTTGATTATTGTCCATTCTCTTCTCTATAATCGGTTGAAGCGCGTTAATCAATTGATCACTGATTTCTTGTAATTTTGCTTCAGACAGCTGCACATACAAATCTTCATTTTTCAAATTATTGATAAGAGAACAATTATTTGAATCTAATAGATTATCGTCGATACGAGTAATTTGATTTTCAGACAATCGATTTATTCTGTCATTAACAGATAAATTATCTTGAAGATTTTTCCCATTTTCTAAATCAGATTTGATAACGTCGTTTATATTTTTAGAATCTTGTACACCGTCCAAACTTTTGATTTGATGTTCCGTAATCGAAGTTAATGTGTTGAATTCTATTTGATTGGGTAATACTGACGTTGCAACATCTGTCAATTTACTTTCTTCCTTTATCGATAATTCTTCGTCAATAGAACTATTAGCACTTTCATTTATCTGAATAGAAGAAGAATCAATTTTAGTCTTGTTATTGTTGTTCTCCAGTTCATTCAAATCTGATAAAAATCTAAGAAATGGAAAAGTAGAATTTTTTAATATGGATTGTTTTTTACTATCATCGACTGTTGAATTATTCTCGTTTGTAGATAAATCGTTAACTCTTGTTTCTTGTAACTTCTTTCCAGATGTTCCAGCATCAAATTGATTTCCTACTTGTTTAGCGTTTTCACTTTGCTTCTGTTGAAAATAGTCGAATTGCGCGAGATGATTCTGACTTTCCTCGACACTTTTTAATGGCGCGATGATATCTTGAAACAATAAGTTACTCTTTGGTCCTTTTGCAGTCTCAGGTAAAACTTTACTCATCGGCTCCACAATATTTTTCGAGTTTGATAGAATCTTTACTAGAGGTAAATTATTCTGTTTATCAATTTGCGTATTCATGTTTTCAATATTTGAATCAAAAAGTTTTTGTTTTATGTCATTGTTCTTATCTAATAACGTTCGTATATTTTGCGTATTTTGTGACAGAATATACTGATTCGCGTTTTCGTGTACATTACTAATAATCTTCGGAATAATTGGTGCTAAATTTGTGTCAAATAATCGTTGACTTATTTTGAGGGCCGGTTCCTGCAAATTTTGTGAGTTTGGAAAAATCCTATTTACAGTTTCAGTTAAATCATTCATAGTCGCTGTATTCGTGTTATTTTTTACTAAAGCTTGATTAACTTTTCTCGCTGATTTCGGAAAGTCTGGTCTAAATTTATTTGCATTTAGCGAGTTGCTTGATGTATCTGAATCAAGAATTGATTTTTGTGAAGTGTTAGAATTAAATTCGTGATTACGTCCGGTAACATTGAATGAAGCGTCTTGAACATCTTGTACAGATTTTGGAATTAAATCGCTCATGTTTAAATTTGGATTGCGTTCTACATCTTGATTATCGTCGATATTTTGAAGATCACTTAACTTTTGTAATTGCGAGCTGAAAACTGTTTGATTTTTATCCGAATTTATTTCAGGATCACTGGAGAACGAATGACTCAGAATTTTTTGGCTATTATCAAGCCCTTCTAGATTCGTTTGAGATGGCGATTGCGTTACGACAGCTTCGGTTGTTGAAATTGATGGAGTATCGTTGCGTCTGTTACAATCATATTCTTTTTCACTTTTCTTTCTCAAATAGGTTAATCGATTTGCTGTATGCGTTGCTAATTGTAAAAAAAGCTTCAAAATATTTTCATTTTGAGCAACTGAATCTAAATCATTACGCGAAGTATTCCAGTCAATATTTGATGGCAAAGAATGTACCTAATAAAAGAAAAAGAATTAATCGCAAGATATCATAAGTATACGAAATTATTACAAATTGTTGTTATATTATTTCTTATAAATATCTTTTATTATTTAATTACTTTAATTATATTAAATCAAATAAATATATGTTTAGGATATAATATAAGTATATATTTTAACAATATAATTTTTTTTTAAATTGTTAAAATAAAATGCTTTTCCAATTATACTTAATTTAATTTTAAGTAAAATTTAAAAAAGCTTTAAATATTATATTTAAATTTATTTTACCAAAACGATCAACGCGTTAATAACAAACAAAACTGAACTTCTCGGCCACATTTTACCATTTGCTGCGACAAGCTGAACACAATCGCTTTAAATATGATCATAAAATTAATATTAAGTATTTCGATGTTGTCCAATTTTAACGACTGTTGTCACTCATCACGTTTTCATTTATACTCTATATCGGATGCAGTGTCGAGATTTGTTGTTTCCGATTTAATTTTTTTACAGCCGTCTCTTTCTTTTATTTGCATGTCTCATTATGGACAATCATGAATTAAAACAACGTCAATTGATTATTTTTATGTATAGTAACTATACAAAACATGACATAATCACATGGACGATTCTCAAACTAGGAGAGAAAATAGATTATTAATTAAATTGTCACTGTAAGGATCTTGATAACAATTATTATTTAAAAGTATCTTTGCGAAGATCAAATTTAATGTTTTCTAGTAGTAGCGTTACGATCAAGTAAATAATAAAACTAAGGCAAGTCGATGCAAAATCTATATTATTTAATTAAAATTAAACGTATCAAAATATTTATGGCGACTAATTTTGTGCAACGAACGGAAAGAATTAAAAGAAGTTGTTGACATCAATTTTAATTAAGAAGTTAATAACTCAATAGTGTTTAATACTTCCGATAACGTCGTATCGCAATCGATCAATCAGTCTGTTCTTCATCGATCATTAACTACGTTAAGCTTAACAAGCCCTCGAGATGAGTAGAGAGGATGTAATAATTACTTCAACGTCCGTTATAACAATAGATGTATTTTCTGCTCAATTACACGTACAAGAGTTCAATCGGGCTGATCTATTTCTACGTATTGTAATTGCATTTATTGATAAATGATAAAATATGTAACAGAGTAAGAAGTTTTAGAGGGATAACACACACACATGGGTATAATCCTATTATCATAAATAACTGATGTCAATTGCTAAAAAGATCTCTTATTGAAAGGACGTTTATTATGCAAAACGTCTATAACTAATTTTGTGTATATTTTCAGGGTTGAAGAGTCATCAAGAAATCTGCGCAGCTTTCATCAGTAGGCAAACAATGTCCGAATGCTTCTAATAATAACGGTTCCTCTATAACTGCTGTCTCATAATCTCGAAATGATATTTTTCCATCGTGATCAACGTCGAGTTTCTTCAAGGCTAACTCCGACAGATCTTTCACTCCTTCGTCTGGATCTTCTTCACCGGGCTGCTTTATCAGGCAATTTCTATGAAATATTTGATAATTAGAAAATATTTGATAATAATAATTATAAATAAAACAGAGATACGATTAAGTTAAAATGTTTATCTTTTACTTGAGCAGCTGAAAGATTTCGTCTTTTGTGATGTATCCGTCGTTGTTTAGATCGTACACGTGAAAGCAGAAAACGATTTTGTCACGCAGACTACCTCGCAAGAACACGTCTAGTCCCATGATCCACGGTTCAAGTCTGATAGCACCTTCGATCTCTCGATCCCAGCAGCAAAACAAGCGCTCTACCAGAATGTCCTCGGTGATTACGTGAAACGTGTTGTGAAGGAGTTCTCGAAAAATAGTTCTATCAATTCTCTGAGCACACACAATGTGTGAGTTTGAAGAAATTTTTTAATGTAATTTATATGTTTCTTATTTTGCCTAAATACAAGTCAACTTTCAATTGCGTGTGGTGTAATTACCTCGACAGCTGGCCTCGATTGTGGCCTTCTGCCGATAGATATCGATCGTCCAACTTGTTGTTGGCTGGAATTGGTAGTCAATTTCTTGTAAAGTTTGCAGAGACTATCCAGTTCCACCCTGACAAAAGGAAATCTTCAGATTAAAATCGGTAATCAAAATAGTTATACGCGCGTTTATGTTTTATTTTATGCTACTGAACTAGTATAATTCACAAAGTATAATTTTTATTCTATTGGAGAATTTTATTTTTGTAAATCGCGTAATTCTATTTTGTCTGTCAGTTCAAGTCCACTGAATTCCATTTGTTTCTCTTTGTCGAGAAAATGACAAAATAAAACACTGGAAAATTAATTCAAAAGTCATTGCGATGCGTCTCTGCAAACTCGCCTGGAAAATCTCGTCTTTTTTTTAAGAGATTCGATCACTTTTACGATGTATGCGGAATTCCTGACGCCTCCGCCTTCTGGCATCTTTCGGCGACGTCTTCTTCTTGATGACTCGTCCTTGTCAGAAGCGCCAGAGATTTGTCGCTTTGAGTTTGCCGACGCCCTGCGACTACTCGTCAAGAAAATGGAAACACTTTTCATGAGCGTCGCGCCGGCACGAATGCTTATACCTGTCCGACCGTCGGCGCCGGCGTCGACGTCGGCCCCGGCGCCGACGCCCAGCTTTGCCCTCCCAGTTGACGTGGCGTTTCGTATTTCAGACATCTCCATTCAGTGACTAAAAAGTTATTAATTAATTGGAATTTTAATTTAGGTTGTTGATATTATGTTGGTAATTCTAAATTATTCGAACAGTTTTAGCTTTCTATTTGTACAGCAAAATTAAGAATCTATTCTGATCTATTCTTTAATCATTAATATTTTTTGTCTGATTGAATTATATATTGCATATATACATGAGAATTATAAAAATATAATATTTAAAAAAAAAAATAATAAATAATAATAATATTAATAATTATAATTTTATTGAAAGGTAAGATAGAAGATATGTAAGTACATAAAGACAAATGTGAAGAACAGCATCAGTAATGTGATGCTACTTATAAGTCTAATCTTTTTTAGATTAGCTTTAGATCTTTAGTATAGTATAATTAAGAAGAAAATACACAAATGTAACAATTAAATATAATACATAAGTAATAAAAAAAAAATCGTATATGAAGATACAAGACTTCGTATTATAAAGATATCTTTATATACTTCAATATGTATATAAAAAAATACAATATTTGAGAATGTAAAAAAAAGAAAAGCAAAATGAACATAATATTACATTGAGTTAAAAATGAGAAATAATATAGTAAGAAGCAAGTAATTTAAAAATAGAAGCCAATAAAGAAAAAACAAATATATACTTTAAATGGGGCTTTCACGATTGTAATAAAAATGCAAATCTACTTTTAATAGGAAAAATTGTATGAAAATAGAAACTGTTTCTACGAGAACCGATATAGACATTCGAGTCAATTAATCGATAAGAAATAATTCACGGAGCGAGGATGCAGTGGTCCCTTTTTTACAGCTAAAAATTGCAAACAGCCAATCGTAGCTTGTCGAAAGATTGCTTTTCTTTCGTGCAACTGAGTTATTATTATTTACGATCATATTTGCGTAATTTCCATGTAACGGTGTTGGTTCGTTGTCTTCGCCATTTTCGTGGCACGAATATTCCAATGAATTTAAATCGTACATTTATGTGCGCGTAACTTGGTCTGCGTGTACAGAGAAAAAGAATGTAATTTACTTAGAAAGAAAAATATCTAAGATTTATGAATAGTGCATAAATTTAGATATTATTCATTTAATATTGTATTATCTATCACTGTATACATTGAAATACAAATAATATACGTTGTTACATCGAAACATTAAAAAGTTTATGCCTCGCAATCGTTTTGCGAGATAAAATGTAAAAACTTTTCTCGTTAGACAATAAATACAACTCGCGCTGTATTTGTGTCTGAAGCAAACCAATTCGTGTATTATTTAGGATTGTATGTTCTGAACACGCAGTACCAGGTAGAACATGGAAAATAGAGAAAACTTTAAAGCACACTTTTATTTGTTTTATAACTATTTTACTGAAACTCTAATTTTATATCTCTGTTTGATTAAGAAGCAATATAATTTCAAGAAATTGTATGTTTTTAAACATAAAATTATGTACATATATATTTGGATCAGAAAAGAAAATTTCATCTCTAACAATTTAATAACACATTTTTAATCAACTTGCAAACTATCTAAATAATCACTTTTAAACGTGAGATCTATTTATGCAAACGGTAATAAAGCGCTTGAAATATGAGATGCAGTTCTCCAAGAGAACTATTATTTTGAATAATGCATGTCTTATCTTCAAGTAATCATCTTTAACAATGTGCCTTGAGAATCGCTCCCGTAAACGCGAGAGGTCAATTCATAACATAGGAAATTGCAATTTTCAGAAAGCATGATATTAATTTCTGCATGATGAAATCCCTCCTATTTTATTGCGTTACATGATTTCTTTATTATATGAATCTTTCTTCTTCTATCATTCTTACATGTCTTCCACATGTCTTCCTTATTATATAAAAATATTTCGCCGAAAGCAATTACGATAAAAATTTTATATTTAATTCTTGTCTATTTTGTTTTTATTCTGTAAATTGATTTAATATATATTGTAATTACATATATGAATTCAGCAGAATTTTGCCAATGAATGCAATTTCACAAGGATACGAACTGTTGGAATGAGAACTATGATAGCACCTTAAATTAGATCGCGTTGCGATAATCGACACGTGTGTTCCTGTACTTACGGATTCTCAATTTAACTTCTCTAACTCACGATAAACGTAGCATGCATGTGAATTTCGTTCCATTTACAATAATCTATTATACCTACATTGATCAAAATAATCTACCTGAAATTATTAACATTAACTAATTAATTTTTAGATTTTACAGAATTATAATAATTCAATTTATTTGAGAAAATATTTTGTCTATTATCATATTATTAAGATTTTGAATTGTTTTTTTCAATATTTTGAATTGTCAAATTTTGAATTAATTACGAATAAATATTGATGAATATTTTCAATTAAACTAATTCAGCCTGAAAGATCTAATTTCTAAATAGAAGCACAGCGATAATGATAAATAATTGCCATTAAGAATCGCATCTTTTATTATTCGGCAAAATATTATCACTAAAGATTATGTCAACAAAGTGCATTGTGCAATTGAAGGCATTGAGGTCTTACGAGCAGAGATCATCTTCTTCATACGAGGATGACTCGAAATGTTAAAATGTAATGGAATATTGTTTAAACAAAATTCACTGCCTTCTGTTTGTGTCATATGAGTTTAGTATGATTGACAAGTTCGATTAAATCGGAAAAAAACTTACCAATTAATGACAAAGAACTGCTTCGTCGCGACGAAGGTTCCGTCGTCAGCGGTGACTACGTATTATCGACCAAACGTATCAAATGATGTGTCTGAAAAACATTTTAACATGACATCTAGCAACAGATCGGATGAATATATCGCAGTTGTACAAACATCAATACGTTTGACAAGACGAATCACTGCAATAAAATTAGAAATTAAACGATATTGATAATGTATATTCGTTCGATATTTTATTATAACGATATTTATTTGTTTTTTCATATTATTTATTAGTTTATTAATTACAGTCTATAGTCAATATAATGTTATACATTTATAATTATAAAATACGATTTAAATACATTTATTAAAATATTATATGGCTAAATTTTTCGTAACGTTCGAGTATACAAAAAAAATTTGTTTTACATAATCGGTATTTTATTTGGCTGACCAACAGGAGAAATATCAACATCGGAATTTACTTCTAAAATGGTTGTTGACGTTGGATGATGTTTTCTGAAACGTCGAGATTAATCGTTAATTATTCAATGTTAGTGACGCAGTCTGCATTTTTTATAATTGTTTTTGCGCCTTTCTTACTTGCATAACTTGTCTAAATATTTTCGAATGTGCACCACTTGACGTTGAATATCAATCAGCATATTAGTCATCCATTCTTCTGATGTTGCGAAAGTCGCTCGTTCTGTAATTAATTTTAAAATATTAACTTTTTTTTTAATTTTTTACAGTATTTTACAATATTTATATATGTCTTAATTTCTATATATAACTTTATATTTTATTTAAATACATCCAAACTTATTAACTCTAATAATATTCTTTGGCATCAGGATATATTTTGACTAAGATTGTCGATTACTTACTGATTCGGACGTGCTCGTCGGTAATCTCTTCATCCTGATAGACAGTATCAATCTCTTTTATAGAATTGATTAGATCTTTTATATTATTAACGTTATTTAATGCCTGCAAGGGCATAGAGTTTGTATTGTTAAGTTTGTCGTGCATAACTCTCGATTGCTCTTGGACAAGTTGTTCGATAATCGAGCTTAGCTGCTTTAAAAATTGTGTCTAAAATGAACAATATTCAGTTTAAAGGTAACGTTTATACTAATAAATTGCGTATTAATCGATAATATATAATTAATTCGTTCGTTTAAATTACGGTACAGCGTATTATCGAACCTCATGTTTATACCTGTCCTTGTTTTCACTTATTTTTATGGCATAATTGATAAGTTTCCCAAAGTTTACCTCGTACGCTGCAATTAGCTCTTTTAGTTGCTCCGGCGAGTTTACGGAAATTGTCTCGTCTGTCAAATTGAAAAAATTACACGGTGTAATATTCTGTATCGATTCAATAATAGTATATTCTAATTTGATGTATTCTGATAGACATTAATTTCTATGCAGATTGCACTTTCTTTTCTCTAATCAGTGAATAAATTACGACAAGCAGAAATTGCTCGCGTAATAATTATATATTACATGATACTGTTGTGTATGGGTATTTAATATCTATCTCTAATATGAAACATGCAAGTTCTACCTGCTTCTCTCACATTTGAAAGCGTGAGCGAGCGGCACTGCGCCTGAAAACGAAATTCAGAATAAAATTATAATATATTTGATGAAATTCTAAAATATTCAAGTATGTGAGATTTAATTTTCAGATAACAAAGAATCGGAGAAATATACTTTCGAAAAACTTTAATCTTAGAAACTCACTTTAATCGCGAAGGCAGCAAATATAATTACGAATATCTTCATCTTCATTTTTCGATTGTTCGCGTAACTTTGCTAAGTGAAGCTCTAATGAGATCGTCTAATAAACGAGACCGTTTTATAGGCACCGTGTGCGAACGAAGGCACATGCACATATGACGTTTTCCAAAACATTTAATGAAAACATCCGGCGAGGAATAAACGAACGTATCGTTGTGTATCGAAAACGCGTAAAGTCACGCGAGTGCATATATTCGCGTGATTATTCCGCACGATGAGATAATTGTATTTAATATTACCGGGAGCAACAATATCTATATTGTCGTTTAAATATCGATATATTACGTCTAGAATATTAATATTTTCCGAGTAGAACATAATGGATTATGAATAAGGGAATTGTCAATGACGTCTGACGTGTTGTTCCCGAATTTGCACAGAATGACAATTATTTTTCAATGGCTGTCACGTTTTCTGAATATAAAATTAAATGTAATTTGCATTCATGGACGACTGATTGGATTGAAGTGTGTAAATCAATAGTCTGGATTATTTGCTAATCAATATAAAACAAATGTGGAAAATAATGATGCCTAATAACGTATTAAATTTAAAATTCGCAAGATAAAATGATTACTATATTGGTTGCGATTTACAAAATAAGTCAGATATATAATCGAGTTTCATATTTTGTGTAAATAAATTTATTTGGTATGAAAATATAAACATTTATATATATATATATATATATATATATAAAATAAATGCACAATTATAATTTATTATGTTACATCTTATATTACATATTATTATGTTACATATCCATTCTTAATGAGCAGTGGCCGTTTTTTTAAGTATCCGTTTATTTAAGTCCTTCATCGTCCATATCTATGGCAATCAAAATACATTATTGTAAATTACATGCTAATAATTTTATCACATAATAACATTAATGGGATTGCAAGATCACAAAAAAAGTATCATATATAATTATAATTAATAATTAAAATTATATCTAAAATTTCTCTTTACATTTTACAATCAATGATTTTTTCATCGAGTTTGACTTGCTAAAGATTCTCATTAAACGATTTGTGATATTTACCCAGAATTAGCATACGCAGTCGCGAAGGAGCCGCTGCCGAATGGCGTGCTTATTGAACCTGCATGGGCTGCGCTATTGGCGAATCCGCCACCGTATCCTCCGTATCCTCCGCATCCTCCTCTGCATCCGTAACCACCGCGATGTCCGAATCCTCGATGTCCATAACCATGATGATGACCATGATGATGATGATGACCTCGGAAACCGCCATATCCGCCGAATCCGCGACCGTATCCAAAACCACCGCCATATCCACGGTACGCGGTACGTTTAAGACGAGCGGGCTCCGACTCAGCTGTTCTGACTATCCATTGAAGATCTGAATGAGAACCTTTAGATTTGAATTTTAATTCAATTAATTCAGACATCACTTCTCAATAATAATTATATTACTAAATCTAGAGAGGTAACTATTAATAACAATTTGTTTATTTATATTTGCTGTATTAAATTTGAAATTGTTATTTCAATTTCAAAAGAAATTCCAGATAGAAAAATTTTATACAACTCTTTGTCTTAACTATGTACTTTTGTCAATAAACAATGAGTTGTATAATACAACGTAAGATAAAATTGTTAAAAATGTCGGCGTCAACATAAAAAGTAGATAAACTGGTTTCTTATTTGCGTCGATGCAGCATTGAACATGACGCACGTCGTTCGTTAAAATCAATATCTCAAATTATTATAAAATTAAAAAAAATTGGATTTAACAAAAATTGCACGCATATATTTTAGAAATAAATTTCTATTTCCTACAGCTTCCAAATTTGCAGGAGATACACAAAGCATCCTTGCTTAAAGATAATAGAATTCAATTATTTTGCAATCTTGATACAAAACCGCGCGATAAAGTGATAATATGTTAAAATTTGATTTTCTGCAACACTTTCACGAACACCATTTTTGTCTTTACCTTGAAGTTGCGGTGCTGGTAATGCTACTGCAACTGCGACAAGCAGCGCAACGAATAAAAGGATCCTTGACATTCTGATACTGACTATGCAGCCAAGGATATTCAGTGCCAAATGACGATGAGAAAATCGGCTAGGCAGTCTTTATATATACGGAACCTGTTCACATGTTCCGGGATATCCCGAACGACACGCGTTTATACAGATACGAAACGGGCAGTTTGGACCGCGTCGAATCGGCCGCATATCATTAGCACGAACAGAATGAACCTCTCTTTTGTCGTTGTGGAGTTGATGATGTGCCGCTGGCGTTGTCCCTGGAATGACTTCCGTCCTTCACTCAGTAGAACGCCATTTCGTGACAAGTCCATCCTCGGTATCGCTCGTGATAGATCGTCTTAGTTCTCAAATTGCAAAATTTTAAGGAAGTGCGAAAGAACACAGGTAGATCATTAACAAGATTTCTTTACAACAGTGATTAATTTATTAATCAACATTAATTAACGATTTTTATTTAATAGTTACTAATCTTGTAGTCATTATTATAATTATTGTGCGTCAACAAGTAAATTTCTAAGTTAATTAATTAATCAGAAGTAATTAAAGTTTCTAAAGTAATAATTTTAACTAAAATAATTTAGTATCGTATAGGAATTTATTATTAAATATAATAATTAACAATGTTCTGACAGTTTAGAAAATTTTTATACTTTCATACAAAGATTGTCCTACATAAATTCTTAATTTTTAATTCTTAAAATAGAATAAAGCTGAAAAGTTTAGGAACTGCTGATCAAAGTAATCGTGCTAATTGGTTTTTAATAGTGGAGTTATAAAAAATAATCAGTTATGGTAAAGTCAGGTTGAAGAGGCAAATGAGAAATTGTGGATACACTGACGAAAGTTCAAGGAATAGCATGACGAAGATTTCTATAAAGGAAAACGTGAGTACCAATTTTGCCTGCGTAATTAATGTTCGACGCGCTGTTCATGTTATCGTCATTTTATCCTTAAAGAACTATCCTTAAAGAATTATCCTTAATAGAACATGTTGAAATACTTTTGTTTATAAAACTGTGTGATAAAAATTCTTATAACGAAACAATCATAACATTAAGATTACCATAATATATAATGTAAATCCTTTAGAAAGAGCGACATTAACACGAAAGAAATCGCTATTATGTTATAAAATCCAACAATCGGGAAATGTGAAAATAAAAACACGTTTTTAATTATTAATCCTTTTGACCTTCAAGCTTCTTACCGTTGTTGCATAACTAGGTATTCAAAATACCATTTCTCAACTGTTGTCGTGCATATAATCGTCTTTAGATTCATTGTCCAACATTAATTATGCTTGGTCACCGGAATAGCCGGTTAGCTTAAAGAACCATGAAATCTTATTTGCCTAGAGGATACATTAACTAATCTTGGCCTTGGTTTTTCTCGGGACTTCACAATCTTAGGTCGATGAACGAATACTTCGGAATTCCCATCTAACAATAAGTACTCTGTTCATCCATTATTATTAACGCACAGAACAATTTTATGGTTAAAGATCTATTCAACAAACTATGCCACTTAATCACAATTTCTCTTGATTTTTTAATACATATTTATATTCTAATTAAATCATTGATTGGTTTAAAATAAGATCCTGTTGATTAATTAATTCAATTAATTAAAAATGATTCAAAATATATGTTACACACACACACACGCGCACACACACACACACACACACACACATACACACACACAATATTTACTTTCAATCCTTACAAAATTATTTAAGACTTTGCAGTAGTTTATATATTTGTTTGTAGTTGGTTACGAAAGTTTCAAAAGACTTACTCGGAATTTTTAATATGTACATATTAGTTTGAAATCTTGAAGATATTATATAAGTAAAGTCAGAGGCATAATACTAGGGAATTTTATTATATAGATAAAATTAGAAAATATTCCAATGACGTAAATTGTATATAAAGTTGCTTTAAATAATTTTTCAATTAGCAAGCACTTTAAAAACACACTTTACGAACGGAAATCCCCATTCCGTTCTAATGTAGATCGAAGTTATTAGCACAGTATCCCGCATAATTGTTATGTTACATATTTACATTGTATAAAAATCACTGTAGAAGAATTTTGACCCGACGGATTTATTTAGACTGGAAAAAGTATACTTGTATAATAAATTCATACGTTCTTTGCATCGTACTCAAATAGAATTATTTTAAAAGTTATATCACGCTTAAATTTGGGACTTCCGACGATGAGTATTGTATGCGCAACGTTCGCATATATATTATTATTCTTTCCAAAGACAAGTGATTGCAATCTTGCATGAGAATGCAAGGTAATCCTATAATTTTGCAGTCACACCTATCTATCTTAATCTTACTCTTAATCTTTTTGAAACATAATTTTTCCGACAAGTGCGAACAATTAGGTATTTGTAAACAGTTATGGACGTAATAAGCGTAGGAATTTTCCTGCAAAATTGATACCAACTTTTTATATGTCTGTTTATTAAACCATTTAATAAATTGATCGTTTCAATTTTTTATTTTTCTAAAAGTTAGAAGCAATTTTCTCATTGCACTTATCGTGTAAATTTAAAACGCTGTACAAAACTATTTCAGTATAAATTTCGTTAATTGAACCATCAAATCTTTTTAATTATTTATTTTTATTAATCATAATATTTCCAGACAAAGTAAATACCATCTACTTTACTAAAAATTTCTTAATTGACTCGTCACGTATTATACAGTGAATGTTGCAATAGAGAATATTATTTTGTACAGTTGTTGATATGTTAAAATTGAAGATTTCTGTTTATATCAATTTTTTAATCAATTATACACATAAATTTGCAGCTTTTGATAAAGTATGTTGAAAACGTTAATGTAGTTTGACTGCATACACGTACTTCATTTATCATCTGTTGTATATGTATAATAACTAGTATGTATCTTTTTTATTACGGATTATTAATTTATTATGGATGATTAATAATGTACTCTGTTTTGAATAAATTTTAAAACGACGCGTGATTAATCGTGGATCGTTTTTA